TTTTTTTCCCACAAGTACCCTTATCTAATAAATTACTTTATATTTATTTTAGAGTAAAACACACTATTAAATAAGGGTAATATAAAAAAGATAATATTAGCTTAAAGATAAGTAACTAATTTATTGAGAGGTGAGATTCAGTTAAAAATGTCTTACATTATTAAATGGAGGGAGTAATATTTAGTTAAAATATTAATTTGAAATTATAAATTAAATTAAGATATTGATTTTTTAAAAAATCTTGGTTATTATAATCACAATGTTAATTTATTAAATGAGATATATCAAGAAAAACAATCATATGAAATCATTTAATATTTATGTTAGAAAAAAATATCTATAGGGAAAATCACATCCAATCCCCTTGTGGAAATTAATCATAGATAAAAATTAAAGTGGAATGAATGTTGTTAGAATGAGAGCATGACATTTTTTTTTGAATGAGACTTATTATTAATCTTTATTTGTGATTAATTTCTTTGTGAAAGGATTGGGTGTGATTCTACCATATCTATATATACTAGGCTGGGCTTGTCTCGGGTTTTATTTAATGTAGCCTGGCATATTGTTTTAAACAAAGATAAACACAAGGCCAAACATTTTCTTTGGCGAAAAAACATACACAAGACTAAATATATTGTGATAAGAGTCATTTCTCTTGATATTTATTTATCATGCCACTCCTTGTAGTTCTTAGCGTGAGATTCTTTGTCTAAAATGTTATTTTTTTCCCTAAATATTTTATCTTATCCTATTTATAAGGAGAGAAACTTATTTTTTTGTTTTATTTATAAATCATTTCATTAACTTTTTATCATAAGTTTTTTTTACCATCCTATTGAGAAAAAAATATTTGATTAATATATATATTTATTTATTTAATAAGGGTGGACTTGAAAACTTATTAAATTTTTAAATCAAATTAATGAGTTTTAGTATTTTTTTGATTATGATAAAATATGTTAAAAGAGGAGTATCATTTAGTACTTTGATATTCCGTAACTAACTAACCAATTTATTTTCGTTAACAAGTAATGAGAATTGATAAAATATATTAACCAATTTTAGAATGATTATTTAGTAAATGAAGCCTCAGGTTCAGTGGTACCTAATAATGCCTGTCTACAGATGAGCTACAAAAGAGAATCTGAGTTCCATACGGCGACAAACACGTCTCTAAATTAATGGGTTGACTTAATCCAACTCATGCTATGCGAGAAACCTGGTCTCAACTTGATTTTCAATATTTTTTATGCATAAATCATGTTGATTTTTTTAATCGAATTTATCAGATGAATTTTAAAGGCCTAATTCCTACAGTTTTAGGTTTGGTATCTACCAAATGTTTGGCATAATAATTGTCATTTTATTGAGAGGAAGAGATGAGTTTTTATTATGTTTATTAGTCGAGAAGGAAACCTTGGGGCATAAGATCAATATCATGCCTCATCTTTTGTATAAAAAAGACCAATTACAATAATTTTTCTAGAAGATCTTGCCTAAATTTAATTTGTTTAGGCTAAATAAAAATGAATAATAATACTTTTAATTCTTTAATCAAGTTTATCTCAATTATTGATTTAATCTCTCACGTTTAATTTTTATTGATTTAATCTTTTAAGTTTGCATGGATTATCGATTTGATCCTTGTTATTGAAAAAAAGGTAATGCTATCAAAATACGTTGATATTAATAACAAAATATTGGTGGCAGTCATGTAAATTAATGAAAAAAGTGTAATTACTTAACTAAAAAAAGACTAATTTGAAGGCTAATGCATTCTCAATTAAATATATATATATATACATGTTAGATAATTAACATACTTTACACATTAGGTTAATTTGAAAGTCAATTTGTATTTTAAAAGTTAGAGGACTATTATAATAATTTAAAAAAACATTTAGACTAAATTGATAAAAATTAAAATTTAAAGATTAAATCAATAATTGAGACAAACTTAAAGATTGAAAGTTTTATTAGAATTTATTAATCCTATAATCATTAAAATTTAAAATTTAAACCATCCATTTTAATCCTAATATGTTAACGCAAAATACACTATGAAATCATGGACTGGGTTTTCTCTTGAATTGAAATGGTCATGTATTATCTAATATAATTTGATATCAATGCAAAATATCAATAGGGTTAGGTCTATTTAAAATTGATAGTTCCACATAATGTAGTAAATTAAAATTTAAATTCTTATTAAAAATAGTGCTCACATTTAGTGTTCGAAAATACTTCAAATAAAATTATCTTTAATAAAAAAAATACTTGTGAGTAATAAAAAAAATATCAACACAAAAATGGTAATAGCTTTTGTGTTTGTCTCTCTGTGCACCAGATTATCTTTACGTACAAAAAAATGATATTAAAATTAATGATTTAATGATGAATGACGAGAAGTGAGAACAGAATACCATGGGCTAAACGAGGGAGATTTCTAGGGATAAAATTTTGTTCTTTTATTATTGACTAGAATCTAACATTTAGGGCTTAGTTAGAGACAGAGTAGATAGTTTTCACTAAGATATGCAATTCAACAAATGACTTTTTTTTTCTTTTTTCCTTTTTTTAAATGCAATCCAATCCATATCAATATAGGCATATACACATATATTTATACACATAAAAGGAGGAAGTGTGATTGGAGAGGAACAAAATTGAAGAATCTGATTCATTTAAAATGGATATCTTCACAATTGAGAAAGGTAATTAAAAATAAAAAAGGACTTGAGCTTGAGATTCAATCATAAAGAGATTGGCCATAATTATTAATTAATTGGATCTTCTAATAATATATTTGAATCCAATTTGAATGCCTCTTTCGAATATTTTATTGGGCATTGCAACCATCGGTAAGGAAACACAAAAGGAAGCATCAATGTGGCTCTAGCATTTGTGGAATAAGTAGAAGATGCAAACATAGTCTCATAGCCAGACTTAATCGTACGAGAAAAAGAATAATGTTAGGTTGATTAATTTCTCACAAGACTTGACATTTTTTACACGTTTACTTTATTAATTTAAGGAAAATCTTATTTTGATTATTTACAATTTTTCTATTAAAAATTATTTTATTTCATCAAAAGGTAAATATTCTTCAGAAATTATAATTATTTTCAAGACCAAAGTTATGGTATATGAATTTATTGAAATGATGTTTATAATATATGGACTAAAGATTGATTGTGTTTTGTACTGGAGACAACTATATTGATTGGAAAGATGTTTTATTGAAAGATAGACATATTTTTTTAAAAATATTTTATGGGACATGATGAAGAGGTGTAATATGGATGATAGAGCGGCCGGAATCAGGTAAAAAGAAAAAAAAAAAAACCACTAAAAAGAACTTGACCAGAAATTTAATTACTTTGAAGGTTTTGGAAATATTTTTGAAATAAGGTCTTTCATTCTCATTAATTGCTTAAGGTTAAATGACATAAATGCCTTAAATTATTAAAAAAAAAGAAGTAAAATTTGAGCAAAGTCCTTCACTGTTAATAAATCACATAAGGTCCTTTGCTGTAAATAATTTTAGTGTCGATACATTACACAAGTTCTTTTGGTATCAATATGCCAAATAAGGTCCTTTGGTTTTTAAATTTCTGCACTATGTATCCATGGAAGTTGCTCGCATATATTGGAAGAGCCTAACATATGATGGAAGAAACATTATTTATGGCCCTAGCCACAAGTTGGTGAAAAGCAAGGAAGAGACAAATAAGAGGAGGAGGAGCAAAGAGATGGTGAAAAGCTAATAGGAGTTAGAACAACTCAATCAAGAGAGGCAATTGGAGCCCTGGCCATTAGTTTGAAATGGTGATTTCTAATTTCAATGGCTTCTCTGAAATTGATTCAAGTTCTCAACATGTAAGATGCATTCGATGGAAGATCGATGAGACTGAGTGATACAAGGCAAGGATAGACAAACAAGAAGAGGAAGAGGTGCTGCTAGTGGTGGTACAGAGGAGGATTGACAATGAGAAAGAGGAAAGGAAGGAAGAAAGGGCATTAAAGTTATTTAACCTTCAGTAATTTATGCCACTAAAGAACCTCATTTTAGAAAAGTTCTTAGGGCCTTATGAGCAACTAAATTTGTGATAAGTCTTTTTTAACAAATTTTTCAAAAATAAAAAATAGAATGCTTGCAGAGGAAAACAAGGTTAAGAGATAAATATGAAAAATAATAATAAAGTGAGGCAGGGTATTTTAAAACCCTTCTTGGTCATAATTTTTTGATTTTTAAATTTTAAAGTATATAAAGTTTTTCTTGGCCAAAAAAATATATAAAGTTTGAAACTTTAGATATGAGTTATTCTCAAAGACGAATATAAGGGGGTCATAACTTTCTTTGCATTTATTTTAATTTTTTTCTTTGTAAAAATTAGTGAATTGATTCTAGCCCTATATATTTTATATGATTTAAAAATTTACCCCATGTATGAGACCCTGGATTCTCCCTGTTTATTCTCCGGGTAAAAAAAAAATTATGATTTTTTTCTCTTTGTTAATGTTATCGAAGCAACAAATGATTAATCAACAAATATTCTCAAATTTCATATTAATAAACTTGACATAATTATAAACAAAAAATAAAATATACTTTGAAGATTTGAGAACAGAATGAGAAAAAAATAAATGCAAATAAATATGGTTATGAATGAGAGTGGGGCCAAACGAAGGGAGATCCAAAGTCCAAACAATAACGGTTAGAGATTCTGACTTTTCGCAAAGGTGACCTTAAAATAAAAGCAATACAATTTAAGGCATTGTTTGGATGTTTCAGTTTTTTCGTGCGCCATGCCTGCTGCTTCCCCACACCTAGGGATCCTCACAAGAAACACCCCATCTTAATTCTTAGCCCTTTATGTTCACACCTTTGCCCTCTCCACACACCACACGTGCCCCATTATCATTCTTTCATTCTCTTCTCTTTTTTTATTTTTTATTACTTATTAATTTCTTACTTCATGCATGGAATTCTCCTCCTGACTCCAACACAAAACAAGCGATGAGAAACAGTCTTACCGAGCTAGCTGCTTGTTCCGATTCTTCTTCTTCTTCTTCTAAACCCCATTGCCTCTGTCACCAACCCATTTCTTCGAGTTTTGGTTTTTTTTTTTTTTAGGCCATTGCAGTATGGGGATTGAGATCAATTTCTCAGCATTTTTTGTTTGCGTTTTTTAGAGAGTACTTGGGGAATCGGAAATCATGGGGTCTCTCTCCCTTTTAGTGGGTTGGATCTTGTACTTACAGAACTGTCACATCTCTGATCGTCTCTGGTGAAAAAGCAAGAAACTTCATGATCTGTTTCTGTTTTTCCTGAACTTGATCTGCAGTCTTGTCCCTTTTGCTTCCCAGATGTACCTTCCTTCATTCCTTTTGCTTCACAACATTTAGGACATGATAATCGCGTAACAAGTTGAGGATTCAGGGTAACTGGTAGGCCCGTAGTTTTCTGATATTGTTTCGTTTTCTGGGTTTAACACACAGACATATTCTAGATCAGATAATTCAGATCAAGCTTTCATGGAAGAGAGGAAGTTCGTGTGCAAGTATTGCAACAAGAAGTTCCCATGCGGCAAGTCTCTGGGAGGACACATCAGAACTCATATGAGCATTGAACATACATCACCTCAATCCAAGGAAGTTAGGAACAATGCCGATGATGGTGTCGTCAAGTTCGATGGTGGAAGGAAGCGGAAGAGAGATTTTGGGTCTGAAGAAGCTGCTTCTGGAAACCTCATTTATGGTCTCAGAGACAACCCCAAACAAACAACTAGGCTCGCAAGATCCAACGCTGCTGTACAGAAACAAAGGTTTTGCAAAGAATGTGGGAAAGGCTTTCTGTCTCTAAAAGCTCTGTGTGGCCACATGGCTTGTCATTCGGAGAAAGATAAAGGGACGACGACCAAGTTTGAGAACAATTCTGGGTTTAGCGTGAAGCAGAAGATGTTGATGATGGATAGCCAATCGGACACAGAGACTTCTGCTCCGAATTATCCTAGGAGATCCGGAAGAATGAGGTTCAAGACAGTGAATTCTAAGACAAATGATCACCCTTCCTCTGTTCCTCTGGCGAATGGTTCTTCCCCTGTGTCTGAGGTAGAGCAAGAACAAGAAGAGGTTGCCAGGTGTTTGATGTTATTGTCCAAAGACTCTACCTATAGGGATCGTTTCGTTTTGCCTACTGAGTCTTGGGACACGAGAATTACTTCAAAAAATGGTAAAAAAAGCTCTGTGTCTAATGGTTTTGAGATCGTGGAGGACAAGAGGAAGGTGGTGCTGTGTAAGAACATGAAGTTGAAGTCTGCTGAGATTGTTGATTCTGATAATTCAGGTTCTGGGTATTTCAGAAATGGTCCCAGAAAGTTGGATTTGGATGTAACAGTCGATAAGTATACCGGGAATGGAGAATTCAAGACACCAAAAGTTGCAGACAGGTCTGAGTCTGAGTTTGCTCAGAACTATGACACTGAATCTAGGAAGATGTTAATCAAGAACAGAGGAACCAGAAGCATTGAACCCAGAAAACTAATTTTGGAGGATATGGACTGTGATACAACAGATAGAGCGACAAAGGAACAATTCATCAATTGGAAAAAGAGAACAAGCTGTAATTCTCTTTGCCAACAAAATTCAATTGGTGTTTCTTGCAAAAAGACACCAAACGGTTTTCACAGTGAGGGATCATGGAAGCAAGAGAGCTTAAACAGTGAAAAAACTATCAGCGGCTCTTATGATTCAGCATATGATGAGAGTGACGAGAGCAGTACGGACACAGATGCTTATCCTTCTCCATTGCCTCCTAGCAGCAAGGTCATCAATGGAAAGAAGACCAGCAAGTCCAAGAAGAAATTGAAGTCAAAGAAAAGCAGAGAACATAGATGCCCCATCTGCTACAGAATTTTCAAGTCAGGCCAAGCATTAGGTGGTCATAAAAGGTCTCATTTTGTTGGAGGTTCTGAAGAGAACACACTAGTGATCAAACAAGGTTCTCCTGTTGTTCCATGCCTGATTGATCTCAATCTTCCTGCTCCTGTTGATTATTAGGGGAAACTAGCATCTGGGCTTTGCTTCTTTCAAGAGAATCTGCTAGCTTGGCGGCTGAAAATGTCTGGAAATCTGAGAATGTTCTTGTCATTATGCCATATGATGGAAGAAGCAATGGAAATGTACAGACAAATGGGTGAATCCTTTTTGGTTTGAAATCTCAAGGCCTCATCCATTAAATTGGTAGGTGATAGCTGTTTCTTTCATGTTAAAGGAACATGACAAGTTCTTAGTTGAATTTTTTGTTTCTTCTCCAGGGATTCTATTCACTTTCTGCAATTCTTAATTCCACCGTTCTTCGATTCAGTTAAGGATATTTGTCCTTTCATGTTTTCCAGTTCTTAAATGATAGGCTTGAGCTTTCAGACCTCACATGCTTTTTAGCAATCTTGGTGAGTCAGGTACTTCTGATGGCATGATAATTATGATAACAAAAAGATTCTAATTTCTCCACCCATGACTTTGCTTCAGACTTTAAATTCACAAAAAGGGTGTCTCTTGAACTCAGGTAACCTGACCCAACCTTGCCGCCTACATGTCTTTCCCCGAATTTTTTTTGGAGGGGGAGAACATAATCATCTATCTTTATAATTTTATTGAGTTTTACTTTTGATTACTATAAATTATTTCAGTATTTTTAGTTTTTATAATTTCAAACATATTGGGTAACAATTTGTTTTTTAAATCCCTATAGTTTCAATTTTTTCAATGTTTTTAGTCTTTATAAAGATTGAAAACATTAAAAAAAAAAACTATAAGAATTAAAAACAAAATCCAGTGAAACCATAGGTCCACAAATTATGTTTTCCAATATATATATATATATATATATTATGGGACCTACCTTCTTTTAAAGAATTTTGTGAATATGTGGGAAGATATTTCAAAGCTTGAACTTAATGGTCTCTCCTTGTGCACTTGACCCCAATATTTGTTAATTTAAAACAGAGTCCCATTTTACTTGCAATCACAATTAGTGATAAGCGTTTGATCGGACGTTCTTGCACCAGATATTACTGTTTTGCTGGTATGATCTTTTCCGACTGAAAAAGAGGAAGTGGTTAGAATATTCTTTACAACGAAGATATGATAATTTCTTATCGCGGAACAAGGAGGAAGCAAGCCTCTTTTTTTAATTTTGAGATTAGAATCTGAGGGTTGGGGTGGTTGTAAGGTCGCCTACCACTTAAGGTAGCGAATCATATAATTGCTCCATGTGCAGCTGTCAAAGCACAGGTCTAGTCTGCTTCAACAATTTACGTCACAGCTCAAACTAAAAGCTTTCGATCATGTCAAGCTGCAAAACGTTTGGTTAAACTTATTTTCCTTTAAAAAAAAAAAAACAAGACTAAACAAAAATAGATAAGAAAAGGTATTAAAAATAAATAAATATCTCCCCAAAATTTAGTTTGCCTCAATTTTATCATTCTCTTCATCCTCAAAAAAGGGGGGTCAAAAATCCACTCCAGCTTCAGCAAATCTTGAGTCAGGTAACAGAATGCTTTCCGTTTGAGTGTGTGGCAATCGGAAAGCACAATGAATTCAATAATTTTATGTCATGTTAGGTATTGGTATACAGACACGATACACACAAAAAAAAAAAAAACATAAGGTGTTTCTGAATTGAAGAATTCAGCATTTAATCTCTCCTAAACAATTCTCAAAGGCTTGTCTGCGCCACTTTTTAGACTACGTTTGTATAATGGATGCAGCAACTGGCACACTATTCGCCTTCTAGATTCCACTTCCACTAACTACATGGTATTAGCTACCCTACACTAGTTCCCACCAAGAGTTGCCTTATATGTTGCTGCTTCCAAATCCAATGACGTGTAATCTCAATATTTCCAAAGGTATGAACTCCAGAGTATGGCAGGGGCACCAGGTGAAAATGATAAATATTTATGTTGAGATCACAATACTGCTTCCGTATATGCAAGCCAGGAACAAAGGTCTGGTCTGCCCTCGAAGTATTCAAGATCTCCCAACTCGTGTAACTATATAACGCCCCTTTTCAAGATCATAGATTGTCTTTAGCTGAGGTTTTCTCCACTTAGATATAGACCATGCTGTAAACAATATTACAAAAATGGCAATAAGTAAGAGGAGTGTCGGTGATCCATTGCTGACGTTGGCAATCCAATTATGGTTCTGTGCATCTGAATCAGCTGTGCTTTGCAAGATAAAAGCTCCCAAAGCCCAATCAAGTGGAATACTTCCCACCTGATTAGCAACCTTAATCCTGACAAATTAATTCTAATCAATTAATAAATGCATCAACATGAAGAAATCAAACATATGCAGAACCAACCATAAGTAGATAAGAGCAAAAAGCAGGAACATATGGATATCATAAATACATCCACGCAAGAAAAAAAAAATTCTATCCCACTGTATCTGGAAAGTTAAGAGGTTTATAACCGCCTGAAACGATGCAATAACAGTGGAAGGTATGAATTCATCTCTCAGTTTAAGATATAATCCTGGATGCAAGACCTACCAGAAACAAATATCTAATGGCCACTAATAAATCAATTATGGTGAGACACAAGACGACTGGATTGTTCATTAACCCCATTGAACCACATTGAGGAGGATATCTAAACAGACCTAAGAAAATCTGTTTCATCTCAAACTAAAGGTCTGTTTGATTCGAGGGGAGAGAAAATAAATACATATAGACAATTTTAGCCCTAGCTTAATAAAATTGTTTTCTCCTCATAAAATATAGTTGTTAATGTTTTTAATATATAATTATCCATAAATCATATATATATATTGCCAATAATACATTCAATAATAATTAATTCATAGTTTTTAAAATAAAAGTATGAGCAAGCAGTAAGTTTATTAACATATAATAGAAAAATAGCAAAAGTAAAATGAAAGGACGAAGCCTTAGCCAAAAAATCTGATCTCCAACATAGATGATGACCTGAACGAAGGGAGCAACAATGGCGGTGCAAGATGGAAGGAGCATTTTTGGATTATCAAATCTTAGTAGGGGTATAATAATCCCACCATAACAAAATTATACCCCTCCCCTCCTTATCCCCCCATTTTGGAGGGGAGGGTTTGGAGGGGAAAATTTCCCCTCCCCTCCTCTCCCCTCCATTTTTACAATCCAAACAAGCGGAGGGAAGCAAAATCCCTCCCCTCCCCTCAAACCAAACATACCCTAAGTGATCAGTGCCAAGAAATATTATTATTCTCTCTGTCTTCATATCAACAAAAAGATTAATAAGGACATGTACCTTTCATCATCCAAAGCAATTCCAAGGCTGTCATGAAGCAAAGCAACAGTGTACGCTGAAGAGAAGCAATACCGAAGCAAATCTTCCTCATGAAGGGACTGATATTTTTTCTTCAGCTTTGACCAATCCTCTTCACAAAATTTTTGACCAGCTGCCATCAACTCTGACAAAAACGCCCTTGGTCCCAATTCAAAAAACTAACAGCACCAATGAAGAAACAGTGAATCGAGTAAGTTGCAAGCAAATCCAAGAATTCATGGAATGACAGTAACATAAAATTATTATAATCTCAGATGCATTCAATCAAGACAATAATAATAAAACGCACAATTATATAACACTAGACTCATGGCATGTTAACCATCGAGAAAGAGAACCTTGGATGTATAGAAGAAATTTTCTGTGGCAAGAAACTTCCCTTGAAGCCTAGGTACAAAAGTTGATCCGATGTCACAATGCTGATAGGAACATTTTTCTGTATCAATCAAAATAGTAAGGGGAAAAAACTCAATTATGAGAACTAAAAATGAAGATATGCCATGGTAAAGTGAACCACAGAATACAAATTGGTCAAAGCAAATATGACCTTTCCCTTTCTGTAATAGCATCAATGCAGCAGATCTGCACTCTGAAAAGTTTCCCCTACTTTGAAGAGTAGAAAGATATTGGTTCTCTTCCTTCATTGAACCAGGAGAGCGATCCCATGACTTATCATTGTGAGAATAGCCTTTGGGAGTGCAAGGATCAATTAGCAATCCCTTCTGAAGAGATTGAGTAGCTGCACTGAGGAGAATTAAGAATCAATACCAGACTCTTCTACAACCAGAAAATATTATGCAGTTCTGCATGCCGTAAATGAGGATAGCTGACCAAGAATTAACAAGCTATTATATGAGACGACAAGAAAATTAGCATTTCATATCCCAATAGAACAGATAATATAATATATAATATGTCAGGCATGGAACAAGGAATGTGTTATCCAGGCTAACCTTGATGGCCAATTAATGTTTACTTCCATTGCACATCAGCATCAATACAAAGCAAAATAGATATTATGTTCAGGATAGAGATGACATCAGTATAGTTTCATACCAAGTTTACCCCCAAGACATCAAGAATACTTACAATCATGTTAAAATTTTTAAGAATGTTAAGTGTACATCTCTAAGGTCATTCTTCATGAATGCAACAATTAAATCCATGAAATAAAGCATATTCTTTTAATGATAATTGTGTTTAAACATGCTCAAGACAAAGAAATCAGTCCCAGAATACAGCATTTAAAATTACCCATGTCAAACTCTCCAGATACAAGTGCTTCCCTCACTGAGTCATGAGCAGCATTCTGCAAAATTACAACCATTAGAAGGTCTCTAACAATATATGATTGCAATTCATACGTACAAATGCTCACTAATAGCCTATGAATCTAATTAGAGAATGCCATTAAATTTAGCACACTTCAAACATGTACAGGAAAGAAAGCCACCAAAAGATTAGTTAAAAAAATGAAGTGCACCCATAGGAAGCACACTGAAATGGGTTTTGACCATTGTTAAGAAAGCCAAACTGGCCAATGACATGAGCCTAAAGAACACAGCAAGACAAATAGCAATTACCAGGCCAAAATGAAGAAAGCTGTTGCTGTAAAGGTTGTAAGTGGTATTTCCAAGTCTAACAGCACGTAAGAACCCAGATGGAAATGACTCAGTTGATACAAATGTTACCTGAAAGTCAAGCAAAAATTCTAAGTTGTAATTCCATACATCATGCTCCCCAAGTGTATAATTCTAGCCTAAATTTAAAACTCATAAAGCAAACAACAAATCAGTTGAAACCTGAAGGGTTTTGTAGCAGTATTAACAATCATGTAGTAGCTCATGACTTTGGAAAATAAAAGATTCTGACATCTAATGATAGTGTTAGATTCTTAAGCTTTCCTTCCATTATGTAAAGGAAAATGCTTACCAATAATCCATGTCAATTCAGACACAACTTTTTATGTACAAGTAATCCCACAATGGTTGGATTCTAGATGGAAAAGAGAACTGTAAACAGAATGCTGAATGCCACAATCTTCCCAATTGCTTAAGGAGCAAAATCATAATTCACAGTCAGCAACTTTTCTGTAAGGTTCTTTCTTTATGATCAATTTATTAGAGAAGAATAATGGGCAAGAATTATGGATTGAATCAAGCTTCCAGGAGAATCCCCTGCCATCAACAATCTAGAGCGGGTGACCATGCTTCTAATTATTGGTTTATGTGTCTCAAAATAGTTGTGATCAAGCCCTAAATTGTGTTATGGCACAAAACAACTTGGTTCTGGATATCATGATAGACTTAAAAATTTTGGATCTATGGGTAAAGAGAAAAAGTGACTGCACCTGAGCAGAAGCCCCACCAAGTTCAATAATCCCTGTTGTATGCAAAGGATCACCTCCAAGTGTGCCAAGTGCATGGTTTGCAACAACCCAAGCATATACTCCTTCATCGGAACCTATTCAACCAAATATTGAACGATCGTATCAGAAGTGAAGCAGCCAATAGTCACATATATGTTGGTTCATCATATCATTGAACATTGTAAAACAAACAGAAAGGGAAGGGGAAAACAAGAAAAAACATAACATTATCTTCATGACGCAAAGATGGAAGGCATTGAAATGAGATCAAGACAAGTTGTAATTTTTTTTTGGGGGAAAAAAAGCAAAACGTGAAAGATATGGCGTTAAAAATTGAATACCAATCACCTGCGGCTCTCTGCGTATTAAGACCCCGGGGGAGGGGGGAGATAGCACTGAAAACAGTTTACTCTGTCAACAAAGCAATCATATTTGTAGTTCCGTTTATTACACAGCAGTTGATCAATTCTATCTTTCTTTGATAGTTCAAATAAAAAGAGGACTAACAAAAATTCCACTGTACTAATGCAGGGGTATTCTGTTTACGAAATAGAGTTAATGATGTTAGCTGCATGAGTATCATTCATTGTATTGTCTTCCTTGGAACTCTTACATTTTACATTAATGCAAAAGAATTGACAAGTTAAACATGAAGTAGCAGCGTCGGTAGGAAGAGAACCTGTAATGACAGAAGCCCACTCGTCCCTAAATTTAAACCCAGATGAGCAGAGCAATCTCCTACATGATTCCAGAATCCGCTGCTGCACATTTACTTCCAGCATCCTCAACCCAGCCGTCGCCATCAGTCGAATTTCCGTATCCCTCCAAGATTCCTTTGGAATTTTACTCTTTCCAAAATCCAGAAGCTCCAAAAGAGAGTGGCCAGCCCCATCTGGCTCCCCCACAAATGACGAAAGACCTGGGTTTACTCTCATCGAAGACAAACCATCCTTCCCAAAATCAAACACTGGATTCCCACCTTCCAACCTGTACTTTAACACGTGAATCCTGGTCCCGGTGCTCCCTCCATCAATAACGATCGCAAATTTTGTTACCACGGAATAATGCGAACTGTTGCCAGAGAAGATTGCGTAACCGATGAAAAAAGCAAGGGCGATCAGAATCGAAGAGAAAACAAAACAGTTGGACCTGAAAACACTCTTAGAATTGCGCGAAAAGAGACCCGAGCGAGCGCTGGGGCGAAGATGAAGCTTAATCGGATTCGGATCCATGCGTCTAGATTTGGAATTGACCCGAGTACGGGCATTCAACCGTCGCATGAAAATCCGAAGGGAGAAAGCGAGAAAAACATGAGATGTATGAAAGGGGTTGATTCGAGGAAGCTCAGGTGGGTGTTGGGACGGAGAGGGCGTCAATCATGGAAAGCTTCGCCCTCTCTGCCTTCTCTTCCTCGGTTCTTTCCTCTCCCCCTCTGCTCTTGTTGCGCGTATCGGAGTGATTTCTTTTTTTTTTTCAAGTACTGTTTCACAGAATTCAAATCTATGACATATCAACGAGACAACAACATCATCAATTATTCTCAACCCTGTCTCAGACTAATTTGACCATTTGACCCATTTCTTTTGGGAGTTATTACTAATTACTAATATTATAAAGTCATTACTTTTTTTTTTTCAAAAGTAAAAACACAACAATCATTCCATATAGTTTTCTCCAAGTTTACTTTCAGTTTATATAACCACATTAAATTATAAAGATTATAAATATTAAAAACACTAAAAATAAATTATAGAGATTAGAAATAAAATCCGAGAACAATGGTTATGTTTCCCTTTTCGAATCATGACTAGACTACAATTGTAGGATAAACATATATGCTATTTGTTTAATTTTTATTATCTTAATGTATTCGTTTTTTTTTTACCCAGAAAAAAAATACTTGTTCTTTAGATTTAGATCGTGTTATATTAATTTTTTATTTTGTAATATATATATGATTCCAATCAAAAATGGAAAAAATAATAATAGTTTGGCGAATATAATGATGGTGGCGTTACTTTCAGTTGTGTTAACTATGCTGCAAAGGTGTGATTAGTTGAGCGTGTTAAATGCTCCTCTTCTAAAGTTAATCCTATGTTTTCAATGTGTTGTTGTCATAAAAAATTCAAGTTCCCAATTTAGAAGATCCTCCTGAAGGTCTCTATAAATTGTTCATGGACAAGGATTGTGTACACTCAAAAACCTTCCAATCAAATATCAGGGCATATAATAATACATTTAGCTTCATTTTGATGGGTGGTAAAATTGATCATAGCTTGAATAATGAGGGTGGACCATACACATTTGTTATGTCTGGCCAAACTTATCACCGTCTTGACAGTCTACTCCCTCCGGATGGACTTCCTCCAGTATATTCTTAGCTCTACATTTATGATATAGAGAATGAAGTATCAAACAGAATTAATGCAATTAGGTAATAAACTAAAAAGCTCCACATACAAAAAGAATATAAAGTTCTGCTCAGTTATAAAAAATGGTACATTGTCATTTCTAATAACTCTTTTTTTTTATGTAGAAACTATATTTGTGAATTATTTTTGGAAGGAATTGTTATTAATGTTTGTTTATTTGATTTCTCCTTCACTTTACAGTAAGCATTCTAGGGAAAGTACATTAGACCCACAAATTGTTGAATTTATCAAGCAAATTCTTGATTGTCACAATTCTTTATCTAAGAAGTATAGATTGGCAAGAGATATATTAAAAGAAGATCCAGAAGCTCAAGTTAGGATCTGTTTGATAAGGCAAAATGAAAGGAAAAATAGGAATTTCAATTTACCCATTGCTTCAAAGGTTGCAGCCTTTATTGTTGGAGATTTTGATGAAGCTTACATGAAGAGAGATTGTAGAAAAAAGAGGCCAGCTAAAAAGAATTGATGAAATGCACAAGTCATATATCCCTCTTCAGTATCCTCTACTTTTCACTTTTGGAAACAATGGCTATAATCCAACATTGAATCATGAGGAGGAAAGCCTCAACCATACATTAAAGAAAAAGACTATAACTATTAAGGAATACTTGTGTTACCGATTGATGGATAGAGATAATGAAATTTCACTAATTCTTCATGGAAGAAAATTGTTACAATAATTCATTGTTGATGGATTTGCAATGATAGAGAGTCAAAGATTGGATTTCATCACAAATCATCAAGATAAACTTAGAGTAGATTTGTATCAAGGTCTATCTGATGCTTTGTTTAGAGGTGAAACTGAAGCTGCTACAACTGGGAAAAGGATTATCTTACCATCATCTTTTACAGGAGGAGCTCAATACATGATTAAGGATTATCATGATGCAATGGCAATTTGTAGATGGGCAGAATATCCAGATATATTTATCACTTTCACTTGTAATCCAGCATAGCCAGAGATTACAAGATTTTGTGAGAAGATGAATTTATCACCAAGCGACCGCCCTGATATTTTATTTAGAGTTTTTCAATTCAAACTGAACAAGCTTATGAAAGTTATAAAAGATGAACAGATTTTTGGAGTAGTCAAAACAGGTATGATATCATTTTACATTTCCAATTTTACCTCAACATCTACAAAACAATTAAATATTAAACTAACATTCTTTACTCACTAAAATTATATTTATTTTATTTCAGATATCTATACAATTGAGTTTCAAAATAAGGGTTTTCGCATGCTCATATCATTCTCTTCTTTGAAAACAAGGATAAAATCAACGCTCTTCAAGAGGTTGATAACATTATGTCTGCAAAAATTTCAGATAAAGATGAAAATCTAATTCTTTATGATTTAGTTAGCAACTTCATGACTTATGGTCCATGTGGACATGCAAACAAAAGTTCTCCATATATGAAAGAAGCTATGTGCAGCAAATACTTTCTAAAAAAGTTTGTTGATGAGATAATTATTGATGATAGAGGTTATCCCACATATAGAAGGAGAAATGATGACAGAAAAATTGTGAAGAAAGGAATAGTGTTAGACAACAATACATTATTCCTTATAATGTAAAGCTTCTAAAGATGTTTCAGGCTCACATAAATGTTGAAAAGACTAATTAATCTTCATCAATCAAGTATCTATTTAAGTACGTAAGTAAAGGCAATGACCGGGTCATAGTAGGGATGTACACTAATAATAATGAAAACAACTCACAAGTTACATTTGATGAAATCAGTCACTATTTAAATTGTAGGTACATATCATCATGTAAGGGAGCATAGAGAATTTTTGGATTCGACATCCATCATAGGTTTCCTTCTGTGGAAAGGTTAAGCTATCATCTTCCAAACAGGCAATATGTAATATTTAGAGAAAATGAAGATGTGCGAAGCTTGATGAATAAAAAAGAAATAAGAGATTCCATGTTTTTAGCTTAGATGGAAAAGAATTCTGATCCTTATGATACAGTTACAAGAACTTTGATATATTTTGAGTTCCCCACATACTATGTCTTTGATAAGAAGATAAAGATATGGAAAAAATGACAAAGACGGTTCTCAATTAGAAGAATTGCACATGCTTCATCATCTCAAGGAGAACAATATTATCCACATTGTCTCCTTACAAAAGTCAGAGGCCCAATTTCCTTTGAAGATATAAGGACTGTAAATAATGTTCAATATCCAATATACAAATCTGCATGCTACGCTTTGGACTTCTTGATGATGACCAAAGTATATTAATACAATCAAAGAAGCCTCTATATGGGCATTAAGGCATTATCTGAGAAGATTTTTTACAAATATGTTGCTTAGCCAATGTCTTAGCTAGCCAGAGTTAGTTTGGAGTCAAACAGCCAAGTTAATATATGAGGATATGTATTACTCACCAATTTCAAGATAATTTGGAATAGGTTAGACCCTTCTTCTTGTAATGTAAAATGCCTCATTAGTTATAATAATCAAAACATGTTAAACCCTTTTTCCAAATGAGATATTATTTGGCATACATAAGCTTTAATCAAAATAGGAAAAATGTCTCATTCAAATTTGATAAGCAAAAAAAAAAGTACTTATCACTTAAAATTAAATGTCTAAAAGAGCAATATATGTTATCAAACTCACTTCTTATATCATCATTATGGTTTGTTATTTATTAAATTCCATTCCCTTTTGAAATTTATTTCTAAAAACATACTCATCATATATAAAATAGATAGCCACAGTATCTTATTCTTTATATATATATATATATATCCATCTTCAGTTATAAACTTGTCATAAGATAATTTTTATGACTAAATTTATACAATAGAAAAAAACTCTATTAATCACTTTAATATTTGGTTATATGCAGCATCTATCTTTAGTGATAAAGAAAGGGAAAATGCTGCACTTTTAGAGATTAATAAGATCCTTCTTTAAAATGGAAGGTTACTAGATGATTTTCCTTCCTTGCCAAAGCCTACAACTGTGATTGATATGAACATAGTTAATCATCTTGTCATGGAAGAATTGAACTTTGATATAGACCTTTATAAGTCTAAGACAACAATATATGAGCAAAAGATGACAGATGAGTAAACAAAAATTTATCAAGATATCATTTTTGCTATCCAATCAAAAACAGGAGGGTTCTTCTTTATCTATGGCTTTGGAGGAACTAGTAAGACATTTTTGTGGAATGCTCTCACAGCTTACATTAGATCTTAGAAAATGATTGTCTTAAATGTTGCATCAAGTGGAATTGCAACAACATTATTGCCTTCTGGAAGAATTGCCCATTCAAGGTTCTATATTCTAATTCATATAACAGAAGATTCAACGTGCAACATCATGTATGGTTTTGCAATAGCCAACTTACTGGTAAACACTGATTTAATTATTTGGGATGAGGCACCTATGACTAAAAAACATTATTTCGAAGCATTTGATAGATCTCTAAAAGATACAATACATAGTGAACAAATATTTGGAGGCAAAGTCATAGTTCTTAGGGGGACTTTTGGAAAATTCTACCTATAATACCTAGAGGTTCTAGGGCTGATATTGTTAATGCTTCTATTAATTCATCTTATCTGTGGTATCATTATAAAATCTACAAGTTGACCAAGAACATGAGGCTTGCTACATTAAGTTTAAAAATAGAAAAGGATGAAATTCAATCTTTCTCAAATTGGTTTTTAAGTGTAAGAGATATATCAATCAATAATCAAGGTGATGGTAAATCAAACATAGACATACCTGAAGAATTTTTAATCTCTAAGTACATAGATCCTTTGAAAAAAATTGTGAAATGTATTTATCTAAAGTTACAAGAAAATTTCATGCTAGAAGATTTTTTCACGAATAAAGCAATATTGGCTCCAACTTTAGAAGTTGTCGATCAATTGAATAGTTACATATGTTCAATCTTCCCGGGCAAGGCTATTACATACTTTAGTTCAGACTCAATATGCAAAGTAACTGAGGATTCAGATTCTTTTGAAGATGTCTACAATACTAAATTCTTGAACATAATTGAATGTTCTGGAATGGCTCCATACAA